CCACTGTAATGCCCCTTCTTGCCTTCTGAAAAACCCTAATTCTAGTGTGCCATTCTATATTCTTCACAATGGATCCCTGGGCGGATAGTTCTCCTCTGCTTCCCCCATCCCCCAGTAGTTTAAGGGATATAGTGGTAGTATACTAGCTACCACTGTAAAATATAATCTCTGTGTACTTTGGCTTTTCTTTACCTTGCAAATTGGCTAACCCTGGGCTTAGTTGGAGTGAAAATACTCCATTTCATGGAGAACTACACAGGATGTAGGATAGAAAGTCACCTATCAATATTACCTTTGGAAAAGAGTGAGAGAATTTATCAGGAAATAAAATGAAATATTTAGGAAACATTTGTATGATATATATTTATAGGAACTACTTCATAATTTCAGTTAACTTTGCTGAAGACATATATCAGGCAGTTCCCAAATAATTCAGATCCAGGGTGATGTGAATGACAAAAACAGTACATCAGTAAATACTCTACAAATACTCTACAGTGCATCAGTAAGCACTCCATGAAGGGTCTGGCACCTGTTTGTTTGTGGAAAAAGTCCATTAAGACCCAAAATCAAAAGTTGGGTAAAAGAGCCAATCTCCCTAGCAAATTATTTAGCTTTTCTTCAAGTAGGGTAGTTTGTCTGATCACTGCAAACAGCACATGGGCTCTGGATCTTTGTTAACCAGGGAGACAACCCACTTTCACCAGGTTTACATGGCATAGCAAACCACACCAGTGAGGGCAACTGAAGGAAATTGTGTCAGTATGTGACCCACAGTATGTACAGTGCGATTAACAAGCCATGTGACTGTGCAAATGCAGTCATTTTGACATGCACTGCGTGAGCAGAAAGTTTAAATAGTCAAAGGCAGCTTAAATCTAGTAAAGACAGTAATTCCTGTAAATAGTCGCTTATTGAAAAAGTGACTGGTACGAATCAAGGGACATAATCTTACCCTGTACTGTGGTTGATCTAACCTTCCTGGTTGTAACCAATTGGCTGTGGAATGGTCTTCCCACTGAAATCTACCTGGCACCAATATTGTCATCTTTTGACACGAGGCATCTGATAGCATATGATGAGATTGTAATGCCAATTGTTATATCAGGTCCCAGAATGTTATTGTAACTGCTTTTTCAGCTGTTTTAAGCTGTTCTTACGCCTTACATGTTAGAATTTTTTAAAAATCATGTCCTTGGATTGTAATTTTTAGACTTACTGATAGACTTTTTGCCAACAGAAATGGAATGAAAAAAATCAGGGCTCAGGACCTCCCTCAAACAACCCCCCGCAAATCCTGCAACACTGCTCTTTTTCTGTCCCACGTGCCTGCTGGGCAAGACTGAGGATTCACTGAAGACCTCTTGAGATATTGTCAATTATGGTCAGCAACATTCCAGGTGCAAGAGATATTTCTAAGGTGCCTGACCCCTATACTACAGACTCAAGTATCTGATATTCTGCCCCTCAATGTTCAGGGCACTGAAGAAGACCCAATAGGTCAGGTTACGATTTGAGGCAGAAAAGATCTAGCTGAGAGAAATGGCACTTTGCCCAATGGTACTGGGAGAAGTAGCTCTGGGAATACACTTCCCCTAATAGTGCTCAAGGAGATAGTACTTGCTTTATAATCCAAGTGAGCATTATGAGCTGGAGTATAAATTCATATTCCAAGTCAGGTGAGTATAAACTTTGGTGATACTTTTCTTAGCACATACTGCTTGTTGTTATCCTGAAGATTATATGCTTAAAATGTTTTATAGCTCTGCACCCAGCAATGTTCTAACATCATTTTCCATTTCATCAGAACAAATTTCTTACATAACACGAGCCTAGCATTCTTGGAAGGGGCAAGTTAAATATCTGGGACACTCTGCACCCATTGCATAAGCCAGAGAAAATCTGAGCAAACCTTTAAAGTTCTGTAATGATGCGGTCCCAAAACCATAAAGAAGCAAAGATGTTAGTGGTCACTGGAAGATGTTCATTTGCCACCTTAAGGACAGCATCATTAGCTCTCCAAAATTTGAACATATAATTGCTTTTATACTCATTAACATCCCTCCATGTAACTAACAGCTATGTGCAGAAGTTAAGCAGATGGAAAAGGTTTTGGGGAGCGAAACCTGATTGACAACAAGTGTCCTCATTCCAAGTAAACTTTTATACATTGGCATCTTTTCCCCACTAGGAAGTCTGTTTGTAGTAAAGACATCTTTTAAACTCCATGCAACGCTGATATGCTTTGTCTGAAGAGCATTTTTTATGTGTTTTGATTTTTGTAATCATTTTTCCACATTTCATGTTTATAGTTTTACAGCACCCGCTCGCCCTCCCCCACTGAGTGTTGCCACATGACCCCATGGAGTAGAAAGGTATTGGAAGAACACTAAAATAACAGCCTCTTGTTCATTCTATCCCTTTCAATCCCTAATCCTTTCTCTTGCTTGCTTTTTGGCTGACTAACTTTGTTGTCTTTGTTGTTGCACTCTTATCAACAAGAAGCACCAACTTTCCTGCCCTCCACCGTACAAAAAAAAGGAAAAAACTTGGTGTAAGTTTAATAGGCTTAGTCGTTCCAATTACTAATTAGCTTTAAAGGCACGGACCAAATTTGTCTCTAAGGGATTCTGCATATTGCTGAAAAATAGGCAGAGATTTTGGAAAACCACAAGACACCCAAAAGACACTGACGCAAAGCAAGTATCTGTTCTCGGGACTGTTATCACTGCTATTGTTTGCTGAAGAGCAGCACTGGCAGACAGTCCGAGCTTGTGGTCAGGTCACTTCACTTTCTTTGTCCAGCATGCTATTGTTATGCAGGGAAGGAATCAGCCACAAAATACAGGCTATGTGGAGCTTTTTTTTATGCACCAACTTTTTTTTCAGATGTTACCTAGGAAACAAAGTCTTTTGTGCTAGTAGTTTATATGAGCTATTCATGTCTGCTGGGAACGGCACAAAAGCTGAACAGATAAAGGAAGCTGCAATGTTTTTCTGACCCAGGGATGGAAAAAAATACTTTGGGGGAAGATGGGTCCCTTTTATTTTTCTTTTTTGGGCGGGTAGTTTTGCAGATGATTCTGACAAGGTAAGCAAATGGCTTCATGTAACTTGGATTAGTAGCTGTGAAGTGTGGCCTTCAGTATAGAAGTAAGGAGTTAAACATGGTTGTGAGTCTTTTGGATTGTGTTGCGTGGCATATTGGACTAAGAATCAGCTATAGTTATTTGACAGTTATTATATGTTAGAAAATAGTAAATATTAAATGCATTGACAAAAATAAGTAAATACTGGCCCTTTAATCACCACTGAAACAACCAAGCTATTTCAGGGAAAAGGGCAATTAAAGACAGCATCCAGAACCTATGAAGTTCAGACTAACATCTGAAATTAACATGCATGTTTAGAACAATCCAGTAAACTGTTCAGTGCAGCAGGGCTGCAAGTAAGAACTTTAAAAACGTTGAAAATATTATATATGCCCTATTGTTCAAGTAGATGTGGCTTTGCCATTGACAGATTTCAGCAAACTGCTTCTAATCTTTTACTCTCAACTTAGTGAAGCAACAAAGCATGACTGTTCCTGCATTCTTTTAAAAAATGACGCCCTCCTTTGATTTAGTTGAACTCTGTTAGTGCCTATTTATCTTTTGTGTCTTGCACTTTGGATAGCCTATTCTAAATTATTTTGCATGTTTTCTAGATTTAATTCTGAAGACTTTAAGGTGATGGGTCAGCCTTTGTCGTTTCTCTTAATATCCAGTTACTGCTGTGTCTCTCAACAGTCTGATTTTAAACACACATCTCAAACCTACCCTATGTTTCCTCAGAAGCTTGTCCCATGAATTTCAGGGTAACTTGCTTTAAAGTAAACAAGGGTAGGATCAGGCTCTTAAGCTGAAATTCTAAATAGCTCCTCTTTAGAAATGTTTTATTGAACATGTTTGGACATCTGAACTAATAAGATTTAGGAATATGATGAAATGTCATTAAAATAAAATGTTACCTGTTTCCAAAAATATTATTCAAGATTAGCTCAAATTTTAAGCTATATGGGCTTGTAAAAATATACACTGACAGGTAGAAAATTTGCATCCACTTGATTTGACATGGATGTTCATTCATGCTTAACAAAACAAAAGGCAAAGTTACACAGCTGCTAAAATGGCATACGGAGTAGAGGTCCAAGACAACCCAAAGTAACAAGGAATATGCTTGCAGAAACTTAAGCATTGACTGGAAATTATATCCATGCACTGGAAACTCATATGCTAGATATTTCCAATAAGTGCTTCTCACTTCCTTTTTACTAAGTGTAAAGAAAGGAATATCATTACTTATTAGTTGTAAAGAATTGTTACTTGCTTCTCTGCAATCTATTTCCAAATTCCATTTTCTGATCTTTTTTTTAAAAGTAACTTAATATCATGAAAGGTTAGATACTGATTTTTATTGTATTCATTTACAGTCCCACCTTCCGGAGGAAGAAGATACAGATGTCATGTTAGGGCAGAGGCCGAAAAATCCAATACATAATATCCCTTCTACACTGGATAAGCAAACGAATTGGAGCAAAGCACTACCTCTCCCAACTCCAGAGGAGAAAATGAAACGAGATGCCCAAGTGATTTCCTCTTGCATTATCCCCATCAATGTCACTGGTACAGATCTCTTGTACTTCTTTTTTTGTTGACAAAAAGGTGGTTCAAGTCATTAATTTTATTATGGTGAGCATGTCTCTAAACCCAGGACTTTATGAGCAGCAAATGCCAAAATGTCTGAGGCAAGAATTTAACAAGACTGTAAAAATGCAATCCTAAGCATGTTTAGAAAGCAAAAGCCCTACAACTTCAGTATTCCCCAGCCAGCAGTACTAATTGGAGGATGCTGGAAGTCATAGGACTTTTTCCTGTCTAGAGCATAGAATTGTGCTCTAAATGAGCTAAAGTGGTATCTCATGAATATCCACTGACATTGGTGCTGTTATATCTGGACTGAGATGGCATGGCTGTTTTCTTTCTTTTAAAGTGGGGGAGGTCAGTGGCGCTTGCAGGAAATAGTTCTGTTGACCAGTTCCAGATCTGAAAACAAAATTTTCAATTTGTTTAGGAGGTTACTTTTCAACTCCTAGGATTCTTGATCTTTCATGATGTGTCCTACATGCACAATAGATCAAGTAGAAGTGCAATTGCAGTACTGAATACTGTCTGTTATGTAAATTTTATTTTAAATTTCCCTTCATGTGTTAGCATGTAATATCTATATATCTTTATAGTGTGTACGTGTGAGTGTGTGGGTACACCTGAACAACTATGTCTTATTTCCTCATTATGGTTTCCCATTATAAGAACAATCCTGCATTACCCTTGGGCTTTCATGCTACCATACCTTCCTCTTTTTATGCAAGAAGAGCAAAAGCTTCCACATGTGCTTTGGAATTAATCTTTTTTTGCATCACATCTGAACTGAAGAAATTGTGGCTTGTTCTAACTTCAGTTAACTTACAAACCAGTTTATCTACTAATGGTTTGATCCTGGCTTACTTTACATAGCCAAAGTTAGAACAAGCTGTTATCTCCCTAGTTCAAACCTAACTCTGATTAAATTTAAAGCAGAAGTTTTTGATCTCCTCTTAACATATACCAAAATAATAAATAAATAAAGGAGGTAGGTGGGCCTCACAAGCTTGAGGGTCTTGCAGCCCTGTTCTTATAAAGCAGAAACAATGTTTAACATTGCATTAATAGCACATTATTTTCTTGGTTCTTTATCTCATTCCATGGTGAGAGTATTACCTTAAATAGAAAAACTACTGGGACAGGTGTCAAAAGCTGAAGAACTGGAAAGCAGGGCCTGAATGTGGCCCATAAGCCACTGTTTGGTCATCTTAATAGAAAACATAGATCATGTCAGTCAGCTAATTTATTACCATGGTAACACATTTTCAGTGATCTTTTTTCACTGCATTTGGCATGCAGACACGTATCTACTTGGTTATAATATTCACAGCATCGGTTCTTCAGTGCTTAGGAATGGGGCATATATCCAACAGTATCATGACAAATACCAGAAAATACTAACATTGGTTTGGATTTGATTTTCTTGATTGGCGTGCAGCTGCATACAAGGAAATGGTGATCATTGTTTCACAAACCCATGCAAACAACATGAGAGGTTTTTCCTTTCTTTTCTTTTGAGGCCCCATAGCTTAAACCCTCCTTGCTCTTTCCACAGGATTTGGCTTCTGCTCTTTATATCGAGTCCAGCCTTCTCTAGGACTATGCCTTCCAGAGGTGTTGGACTGTAGCTTTCACCTTCCCCGGCCATTGCAATGCATATGGAGGGCATCACACTGGGAAGGAAGGAGAATTATCTTTTCCTGTATCTTTCAAAGCTTCAAGTGCATCTCGTAAAAAAATTGGAGCTCTAGTTCCTTTTCTACAAGTCTGGGTTGCTGTAACAGGCACTACTGGTTGCTATCCCAGCTGGTAAAGTAGACAGTGTCCATGGAAACTTACGCCAGCATAAATTTGTTAGTCTTTAAAAGTGCCACAAGACCCTTTGTTGCTTTTGCCGCAACGGACAAAGAGGACTAGTCTTCTACAGTCAGTTTATAAATGATCAGAACTAGTGTCAGAGTACAAATAATTGTTAAGACTAATCGTCTACTTGAGTGAACTGTTGACAGAAAGGAACTCAGAATGAATCAGCTTAGAGGTGCCTCCTCATAATTCTTTAGATGTCTGATTAATTCTAATGAAACTTTGTAGCTACAGAAAAGTTTTTTCTTACCAGAGAAAAGCCCTCGTTTCCTGATGATGTTTTCATCCCCTTTGGAGTTATTTTTTATTTCTTTTACACACCTTATCATGATGTAGTGGGATTAACTTCATGCTGCACATGTACAAGGAATAATCCCCCCACTCACACACACCCTTCCAGCTTTATGGAAATTGACTGGAAGCTAGCTGAACCTAACAGACAAGAAAGCCGGAGGATACACCAGTGCAGGGCTAAACCAGCTGCTCCAGCAGGACAAGGATGTGGTTATCCCTATATTTTCCAGGGTCAGAAACACACCTTTGGAATATGTGTGGTTTTGAGTAGCAGACACAGGGTTAAGTGCACACACAACCACCATGTTATTCTTTAGCTCCTGATCACAGGAAGATATGATCCATATTTGTGCTTCCGCCTTAGCTTCCTCTTGTACCAAAGAAGAATTAAATGTCTTCTGTCTCTACCTTTTTGTAGTTTGTCAAGTGTTGGAGGGAACATTTGCTTCACTTCAGATCAGTACCATTTAAACATTATACACCCTGCAAGAATTACCCATGATTCTTTATCAGTGGTCACAATTCAGTGCAGAATTGGACTGAATTAAATCAGTGGGTCTGAGTTCACCTCACTTTTACAAAGATTGTGGTATATGTTCAAAAGTCGAGACCCAAAGAACTGGTTAAGCTCAAACAAAAGGTTTGTCCAGTAGAATTGTTTGAATAGTTGATCCCCATGTCACATGATGAATTGTGCTTGAAAAATTCTCTGCTGTATGAAACAAAGTCTAAAGCGTTTTTTAAGATCCAACATGGTAGTTCCAGCCAATGTGCTTGGGATTTAGGTGCAAGCTTTACTTTGAAGGTTCAAACAATTTTTTTTCATGATAAAGAGAAATTCACAATTACACAATTTAAGTGCTACATTTCCACTACTCCTACTCCCACTCCCATTATATTGCTGGAGAGGTCAGATATTTCCAAGAAAAGACAAATTGCTGAAACTCTTTGGAAAGATTAGAATGTTCTAAATTCAATTCCACACACCCCTTTCCTCCTACTTTTTATTTGTTTATGTAAAAGAACAGAAAACACTGAAGTGTGCCTACTGCCTCTAGAGTTTGCTTTTGGGGGAGAGGGGGCATTCTTTTTCATTTTTCTCCAGAGAAACAATTATCTGTCCATTTATTACAGCTGTAAAATTTTGTAGCAAGCTTGTGTTCGTTGTTAAAAAAAAAATGTCCTGGTGATGGTTGCTATAGGGTTATTGTTTGGGGTTCCTGTAGTAGATTTCAAGAAGAACTTTTACCAGAAAGTTACTTTTTAGTGTTTCACATTTGTATGTAATGTACTATGTATGTGTATGTCCATGTATAATTATGATTGATATAATTATACAGCAATGAAATTGTAGATTTTGGGTCAATAATTTATTGGGGCTTCTATTCCCTTTCCCCATTTTTAGTTCTTCTAGTTGTGTCTCAAATTATACCATGATATCCTCAATGTTTAGTTATCGCCCTGACACCTTTATCCTGAAAGAACTTTGGCCAAGTTACAACTCTTTGATGAAAGGAGATTTACTATTAAAAACTCAAGTGAAGATTTTATTTATTATTTATTTAAAACATTTCTATGCTGCCCCCATCGCAACAAAGCCTCGGGGTGGCTTTTTATTGCACATAAGGTACATTTTAGCCAGATACATAGTTAATGGGCCTTTCAGATTTGCTTCTTACCTGCCAGTGTCCAATGGCTCTTGACAACTCATGACAACTGCTGGCTATTTAGATACCCAACACATTTTTAATTTTTTTGCATCTTGATTGTGTCTAGGGATGGAAATGTATATTCCTTTGGGCATCAGGCATATCTGTTAGGTTCAAATGGAAACATATAAATACAGTGATAGGCTGTTGCATCTGGATGTGCACCTGTATCTTCTATATTCATAGAACTCCTTTGCAGAATAAGAATGATATGGAGGAGGATCATTGCGCAGCAGCGGAGCATGCCGTGCATTCCATTCTCAGATTTAGCCTCGCAGGGCCGGAAAAGACTGTCCAGAACCCTCACCATCTGCAGTCTGATTGGGTGTAAGGCATTTTTCTATATTACCCTATGCTACCAGAGCATAGGGTTTAAGCTTCATGAACACATGCAAAGAGGACTCTCTTACTTACGGAGGGGAAGCAATGAGTGGACAAAGTATGCTATTCGTAGTCAGACTTCCAGCTTAATGACGGATGACCTGCTTTTGCATTCAGAAGGTCTCAGTTTCAATTCCCAATACCCCCAGCTGAAAGTCTGGGAGGAGAATAGACTAGCTGAAAAATAATCAAGACCTGCCCAGCTTTGAGGAACAATATATACTAGACTCCATCTTGTTTGTAAAAACTGTAATCAGAACTTTCCCTTTTAAAAAGCATTTACACTTAGTTTACACCTTTCAGGTGTTCCCTATTATGAGGGAAAGCTAGCATTTGGGAAGATTCTGCCCTGTTCTTCATGTGGGAAAATGTAAGTGTTAGGCAAAAGCTAATGGGAATGCAGGGCAGCCTTATAAGTTAAAAATAAATATGTGATGTAAGGACACTTAAAAGAGCTTGGGCTGTGCCATTGAGAGTAACATTATGATAAAATCTGTTCAGTGGTGGAAATTATTCCAGTTGCCGAATTTACACTGATTGAACCATGAATCATTCAGTGATTATATTCTGAACATCAGATTGACTCAACTTCTTCCGTAAGTACTGATGGAAAACATAGTTGATCCTCCATTATGCTTCAACACGTTTTAATAAAATAGGCAAAGACATAAAACATACAGTCAGATTTGCCATAGTACCTTGACCTCCCACAATTTCACAGCAAGGCAGATTTTAAAAAACAATTTCAGCTGAACAAATTGCTGGTCATCTTGGATGCTAATGGTGATGCCTGCGAGTTCATAATACATGAATAAGCCATCACAATAACAGGTCCCTTGCTAATGAGAGTGTGCAAGTCCTCCCTACCTTTTCACTTCCCCTTCTGCTTTTTTGACTTTTGGCAATGCAGGCTGCTCAGATGGAATAGGGCTTAGAAATGGAACTGTGGTGCATGGTGAATAATTCTCCTAAGAGTTGTACAAGGTTTTCCTTTTATTTATTTGCAGGCACAATCCAAAGTGCTCACTGTCCACTCACTCAGTGCACTGTCTTCCAGTCATAACCAATTGTTTACTATTTCTAAAAGCTAATGAGACCTATTTATGGGTTGCAGGAGTTGGTTTTGACAGAGAGGCTAGTATACGCTGCTCTCTTGTTCATTCACAATCCGTACTACAGAGGAGACGGAAATTGAGAAGGAGGAAAACCATCTCTGGCATCCCCAGAAGAGTCCAACAAGAAATAGGTGTAGTATAAATAAAACTCTTGACTAGATAGAATTATATCTGCCTTAATTGCAGCAATAGCCTGCCTTCCAAAGAGCTTTCCAAGGAACACTTTGGCTTTTATGATTGTAGTTTAAGTATAATGCTTTCAGGATATTTAATTTTGTTTCTGTCTCTCTTTTATTTACTATTGCCAGTCAAACTATATTACTCATTACAGCTTTCAGTGTCAGTGTGCTGTGGGCCTTATTGAGTAATATAGATCTTACTTGTCCAGCCCTTATTGTTTAAATGTAATGAGTTACTTTTGTTGTATGCTTTTCTTTTTGTTTGTTTCTATGCCATAGTTTGTACATAAAAAGTAACTAGAACCAGTGAAAGTTTTTTCTTGTAGCTAAGGGACCCAAAAGAGAAGTGAAAGAACTTAATTCTGCAAAGTGATGATACATTGTCACTGATTTATGCAGAAAACCTGTTGAATGTTTATTCTAGACTGCTCTTGACTTTAAGAATACACTGCAATTTTTCACCACTCCAGTTTGTTTATTTTCCTTTTCTTTAAATTTATACAGATAGTATACATAAAATTATATCAGCTGACTTAGCTCTCTTCTATAGGAATGCAAGTCAGAAAAATTAGACTTAAGTCTTAACTTTTCTTGAATAAGAAACCTCATCTGGTTTTCTTTGCACAACAGAAAAAATAAATAACATAAAGCCACTAACCTGCACAGAATTCAGATAAAGGTGGTTGTCTGTTCTCTTGAAAATATGTATTTGGAGTTTCACAGAGGAAAAAAAATCACTGTTAGGATTTAGAATGATGAATTAACACACCATCACCACACACTTCTATGATTCTGAATACCCTGTAAGAAGTAGTTTTTCCTCTTTAACAAGGGCCTTCACAGGAATGACAAATGTGTCTGCATGACACATTTGGCTGTAGCAATTACTTCTGTTAAGTTACAGTTGCTGATATATGCAGGCAGCAAGAAAATAACTACCCTGGGTATTTTTAGGCCATTTTGAGGGTCATAGTTTTGTCAGCCACTGGAAATCATACTCACTGAGTTTTATGTGTATCCTAGATTCTGACGAATCACCAGTAGCAAGAGAACGGAATGTGATTGTGCATGCAAATCCCGACTTCTCTAATAACATCAACAGGAGATCAGGTACCAGGGACTCTGAGTGCCAAACAGAAGAAATTCTCATTGCTGCCCCATCCCGGAGAAGAATCCGCGCTCAGAGGGGTCAGAGTGTAGTAGCTTCCCTGTCTCATTCAGCTGGCAACATATTGGTGCTGACAGACAACGGTGACACCATGTTTACAACATCAGTGAGCAACCGTGTCCGATCAAGGAGTCTTCCTCGTGAAGGTGCTAGAGCCAATGAAGTCGACCACAACACTGGTGCCAAAATGTCAGTGTATGATGCAGAACACTTTTTAGCAAGCCAGGAAAGAATTTCCACAAACAGTAAAGATGCCATTAACAGCCAATGCTCTAAGGAACATCATCCCATAGGTTTATCTTGTTCTCAGCATATGCATAGTCCAGATCATAACTCAAATGAAAGGGGAAGGTCAAGGCTATCAAGGATGGCCGATTCAGGAAGCTGTGATATTTCATCAAACTCTGACACCTTTGGAAGCCCCATCCACTCTATTTCAACAGCTGGGGTACTTCTCAGCAGTCATATGGACCAGAAAGATGACCATCAATCATCCAGTGGGAATTGGAGTGGAAGTAGCTCAACATGTCCTTCTCAGACTTCAGAAACTATTCCTCCTGCTGCCTCTCCCCCACTGACTGGTTCTTCACACTGTGATTCAGAATTATCACTGAACATCGCCCCAAATGCCAATGAAGATTCAAGTGTCTTCATAACAGAACACTACAGTGATCAGATTGACAAGGTTAGAGTCCACAGAGCAAGTTCGTTCACCTCCACTGTAGCTGATCTGCTTGACGACCCTAACAACAGTAACACGAGTGACAGTGAATGGAATTACTTGCATCATCATCATGATGCATCCTGCCGTCAAGATTTCAGCCCTGAACGCCCAAAAGCTGACAGCCTGGGATGCCCAAGTTTTACCAGCATGGCCACTTACGATAGTTTTATAGAGAAGCCTCCATCTGACAAAGCAGACACAAGCTCACACTTTTCCGTTGATACTGAAGGCTACTATACCTCCATGCACTTTGACTGCGGTCTCAAGGGAACTAAAAGTTATATTTGTAACTATGCAGCTGTGGGCTCTGAGAGTGGCCAGAATGCAAGTGTTGCTTCCAGCCTCACTAACTGCGCCTGGCAGGATTATGTAAGTCATAGAAGGCAAGGAACACAGAGCATTTCTCTAAAGAAACCAAAGGCAAAGCCAGCCCCACCAAAACGCAGTTCATCTTTAAGGAAATCTGACAGCAGCACGGATCTTCCTGAGAAGAAAGAACCAAAGATAAGCAGTGGGCAGCAGCACATGTCGCAGACTTGCAGGGAAATGAAGCTGCCCCTCGAATTTTCAAACACACCTTCAAGAGTGGAAAATGCTAATCTGCCAAGCAAACAGGAACTCACCTGGGATAATCCGGATGAGAGTGGATTAAAAGACATTCCATTTGATGCCATGGACATCCCATCATTTAAGGATGAAGGTGCTGAACAATCTCACTATGCAGATCTCTGGCTTCTAAACGACTTGAAATCTAATGATCCCTATAGGTCTTTATCCAATTCTAGCACTGCTACGGGTACTACAGTCATAGAATGCATAAAATCGCCAGAAAGTTCAGAATCGCAAACATCGCAATCTGGGTCAAGAGCCACCACTCCTTCCCTGCCTTCTGTTGAGAGTGAATTTAAATTAGCATCCCCAGAAAAGTTGGCTGGTTTAGCTTCTCCCTCAAGTGGTTACTCCAGTCAGTCTGAAACACCAACATCATCTTTTCCTACTGCTTTTTTTTCTGGACCCTTATCCCCAGGGGGAAGTAAAAGAAAGCCAAAAGTACCAGAAAGGAAGTCTTCACTACAGCAACCTTCTTGTAAAGATAGCAACATATCTCTAAACAAAGATCTAGAACTTCCAGTTATACCTCCTACTCATCTTGACCTAAGTGCTCTTCATAATGTCTTGGATAAACCATATGCTCACAGACACCATCTACATGCTTTTAATAACAATAAACCCAACATGGTCGAAGAAGCACTGAATTCCAATTCTCCACCAGCCCTTGCTATTACACCTTCAGTTCTGAAGTCTGTACATCTTCGATCAATCAATAAGCCTGAAGAAGCAAAACAAAAAGACAACAAAGACCTTCTCCACTTTCAAGGCAACTCTTTAATGGTGACTGCCATTTCTTCAGGTAAAATTAAACCACATGTAAGTAAGATATCACGCCAATACTCCATGGAAGATGCCATAGTTTCCTATATTAATGTCTCTCCGGTACAGATAAGCCCTGAACAACTGCAAGCAGAAAGCAGTTTGACCTTCAGTGAAAAAAATGCCTGTCAAGAGACCCTAACCTCATTCGACATGGGTGCTTCAGCAGCTAAATATGTAACAGATCAAATGCATCCAGTTCATGATTTTTTACTGGACAGTACAGTCAATAAAGCCTGTGGCAGTTCTGCTGAAAGGTTTCCACAAGGCACAGAGGTCCTCTCAAACAATTCTGAAGGGAAGATGACTATTTGTGGATCAGATCAGGATAAGGCTCCTGACTCTGTGCAGCTTCAGCAAGAATTACCTGCACACTGTGAACAAAATTTGGAATATGAACCTCTACATGAAAATATACCACAATCCGACTCCTCAACTTGGGGAGCAGATATTAGTTATCAGCTAAAGCATCGGCTTGATCTAAGCCAGCGTGATGACAAAGTGCCTGGGAATATCAGCTATGAGTCAGAAATCTCAACTGTAGATTCACTCAGTGAACAATGTTCTGAGCAGGAAAATGATACTGCATCAGGTATTCCAACCAGAAGTGCCTCAGATGACAATGAAAGCAAAACAGCTGAGACACAAGGAACTCCAGATGATGTCTTAAAAGGTTAGTTCATAACTGTTCCTTTTTTCTTTCTTTCTGATATGACTCTCAGTGCCAAAAGTGCTAATACTTCCCAAAACTGTATCAATATAGCTTAATTGTGCAGAATTCCAGTTCATTTCAGCTTAAAATCTGCCTTTCTTTTGAAAGAGTCATTAATTTGCATTTCTTTTGACTTCATTTCAGCTGTAAAAAGAGCAGGAACCCTTTATAGCTAAGAATTATTTTGACAGATCACCCAATATTTAGACTAGATTGCCTAGTGTATGCCATTATAAAAGCAATTCCATTATCAAAAATATTACATTAACCACCTCTACTATATCAAAATGTTGTTTCAGTAGGTTTTTTCTTTTTGTTTTGAAGAATCTTCTCTGAGTGATGATACCATAGTCTCGCCTTTAAGTGAAGATTCTCAGGCTGACGCAGAAGACGTTTTTGTCTCCCCAAATAAACCTCGAACGACAGAAGATTTATTTGCAGTTATTCACCGGTAAGCTAATTTTATGCTTACTGGCAACCATAACAGTATATTGTTTTCACAGGAATAGGACTTAACAAAATTTAAAGGAAACTTGAAAGTAGTACTGATAGACTTCTTTCAATAACTGGATGTTTCATTCAAGATCAACAGGTGGCTTTCTGTGTTATGATGGTTAGACAGATGAGAGTTGCATTCGCACAACACAAGTAATCCTGTGTGTTTACTATGGTTCATAGTTGTTTTTGAAAATCATAATCTACTTGACAATTGAGGGGTTTTTTTTACTTTAGCATGGTTTCCATCCTCCCTACTCAGGCCTCTCACTGTTGCTATGTGTCTCATCGGCCACTGTAGTTGAAATTCAGTCCCAAAGTACATCATGTCACCTGCTTCTTCCTTATTGGTTCACACTATTGGCTATTGATGGATAACTGGAGCAGCTCCTGCAGTTGCCATTCTTTCCAAGGGACTCTGTCATAGTTGCATACCAAACCATGAAAAGCACAATCTTGGATTCAGATAGCACAACAAGCCATGGTAGTACAAAGAAACAAACAGTTGCTTCTTATTATAGTTTCTAAAGACCAAACTTATCATGGTGCAATACCATGACTAGCTTTAGACAACATGATAGATCAAAACCATGGCTTGTTGGGTTGTCTGAACACAGCTACGGTGTCTGAGAAAGTATAGGTGGGCTTGATGATGTATATTTTGCCATTTGATATTGACAGTCAGTTACATCATAAAATCCAATTACAAAGAGTTATACTGGAGAAAAGTGAAATGCTAACTAGGGAAAGTAGCAAGCTGGAAAGGAACTTGGAAGGAAAATACTAACTTTCCTAGCCTGTTGAAGACCTAACAGGGTAGGAACATAGTCCTTCTAGTTGCTACATCTTTTTCCCCAAGTCTAATCAAGAGCTCCTCTAAATACTGTATCTGGGCTGTGTGAATGCATGCTCGTACACACTCTGTTGCCAGGGTCCTCATACAATTTATACTTAAACCACTCACCTGGTTTGCATGACACAATCCATCCTGGTAGAATTTCATGTCATCTGAGACTGCTTTTGCTGGATAGCTTGTTGTAGTAATTCTTCATATGATGAGTGCTTGTCGTGTTCTCTGAACCTGCCATTGTAGGTTGTGGGAACTGACTGGCAAGCCACTCAGCAAAAGCAGCATACTCTCCTGCTTGTTCAATCTCAGTTATACTACCATCAGTAAGTGCCTCACCATCAATGCTGAAGCACAATTTGGTTGCTAGCTTTTTAAAGTTCCATTTTTTTTAGAACTGTTTGGTGCCCGCAGTGGGCAGGTTCGACAAGCCATGGTGGAAGCCACGGCGGCATAGATTAGCATTACATATGAACCCAGGAAGAGTGTTGAAGCATAGTAAAGAGGGTTTCTGTGGAACTACGGAGAGAAACAAGCATGTTGTATGGTTTCAACATTTTACCATAAGTTCTATGCACATCTGAACCCAGTTTCTGTGTTTCTGCCAGCAAGGTTCATGGCCAGAGCAACTGCAGATCCTCCACCCTGCATTTTTTACCTAGCAACTGCTGTTTTTGAGTTATACACTAAAGGATGTTATTACATGCAAACCTAGACCCATGGGTAGTTCACTAAGCTACAATGGCACCCAACTAGAGAGGTTAAAAAAGCACCAGCCACATTTACGTACTGCAGCATTGCAAAAACGTTAAAGAGACAGGGAAAGAGCAAGGAAACAAACAAACCCAGGAACTGAGACAACAAACCATGCTTTATTTGATACTTGCCACATCAGTCTGGGGTTAAATAAGCTACGAGTTAGCATTATGTATGAACCAGGTCTATGTGAATAATAATAGTTAATCTCTTACAAACTTGCTCAATAAATGCATTCAGTTTTCACACTGAATACTATGGCATTCTTTTCAGGTCAAAAAGGAAAGTGCTTGGACGGAAGGATTCTGGAGACCTTTCTGCAAGGAACAGGTTGCGAAATTCATCTAGTACTAGCAGTGTGCCTGCAGCCAGCAGTGCATCACCTGCAACGACTGCTCCCCCCAGCACTAATGTGGGAAGCCCAGCAAGCAGCCAGAGATCTCCTGGACTCATTTACAGGAATGCCAAAAAGTCCAACACATCGAATGAAGAATTCAAACTGTTGCTCCTGAAAAAGGGTAGCCGGTCAGATTCTAGCTATAGGATGTCGGCCACTGAGATACTGAAGAGTCCTATTTCGCCTAAAGCTCCTGGAGAACCAATTGGGGATGCTCTTCCAAATGCTGATGAGTCTCCCCAAGCCTCATCAAGTGCTGAAGCATCAGCTCCGCTTTCTCCTTGCGCTCCCAGAATAAACGCCGAAGGGTTTTCTTCCAAAAGTTTTCCTACATCAGCATCTTCAAGAGTAGGACGGTCACGGGCACCCCCTGCAGCCAGCAGCAGCCGGTACAGCGTCCGCTGCAGACTGTACAACACCCCAATGCAAGCCATTTCAGAAGGAGAAACGGAGAATTCTGATGGGAGCCCTCACGATGATCGATCATCTCAGAGTTCCACATAGGCTACATAGGGAGGGACTAGAGCACATATCTGACTGTTAAATAGATGAACTCTGCATTCACTTAGCTCATGTGAATATAATAGGCCAATGCTGTAGCAGTCAAATACCATGCAGGGCAATATTGATGCTTGAAAATGCAAAGGATTGCTCTAAGACTGGAAGAAGAGAAAATGATCTGTAGCTATTTATTACTTCACATTTTCTATAAGTAGAAACATATATTAAATGGTTAACTTGGGTTAACTTTCATTTTTCTCATGTTTCCTGTCATCAGTGTAGGTTTGCATTATCCATTTTTCAGAATTCCCTCTTCCTCCCCAAAGATGCCATTTAGAATTAAAAAATTACCTTCACTGTTGTGCTTCCTTAGGGAAAAATATAAAGTTGCTTGATGAATTGGTATTTTTTTTACACTAAAGTGAACTGAAACAAAATTTAGAATGAACAAAACAGATGTACATATCCATATTTTTGATAAATATTTGTAAATAGAATTACTGGTAAGAAAAAAGTGGTTGGTGGCAAATAACAACCTTGTTGAAAGATTAAAAAAAGGATAAAGGTAATGACTGTATTCTGTGAATACAATTTTCTTATTAAACTTAATTTACATATCTACCATGACCACTTGCAGTTAAACAATTAAAGCCTCTAACATGAATTTTAACAGCTGAATTAGAGGAAATTCACCATATTAATCATTACTATAAAAATTAACAAAAAGATTGTCTTTCAAAAGTGCTTTTCCAATAAGCTAGTTTTGAAGTACAGTTATGGCAAGAGGCTCATTAGTGGGCACTACAAACTGTTTATATAAATCAGATTTTCTGCTGTGGCTTCCCCAAGAATCCTGAGATGTATGCTTATGTGAACAAATGGGTGGTATGATGAAAGCAATGTCAGCCACTTTAATCACCTTGGCTCCTCTTTCTGAACCTCCATAAAGTATCGTTTCTAGGAACACATCTCAGTTTTAGATACGTCTCTCTCACTATCCTCATCTTGTTTACACAAGTGACTTCCAAGACAGCATTCCGCTATTCATAGGTTTGCCTTCTAAAAGCATCCTAAAAGCATCTACACCTGTAGAGTTGTAGCAAGTGTGCACTTTTCTTGAGCAGATTTATGGGATGGATCCTAGATTCATATCTGATGGTCTTCTCAGATTTTGCAGCAGTAAAGACTGGTTGTTACTAATACATACTGAATATGTGATTCTATATACACTTCAAATTCTGATATAAAACAAAACAAAAAAAGCTGGAGGGAAAAAAGGAGAATGCAGAATTAACATCTATCTCAATAGTTATAAACTAACTTAAGTAGGTAATTCTTGAGAAAGTTTTTAAACAAGGACAGAGGCCATTACCTAATATCACCGGGTATCAGGCTGCATAAATAAGGGGCAATACAGGAAAAATCATAACACAAAAGGGAAAATGAAGTACAGTTAGTAATGGAGAGCCAGCAAAACAAATTTAGAATAGGTATTTAGATTTTTCTTTAAAGAACAACAGCTAGAGAATAATTTCATTTAAAAGTTATATTAAATTGAATATTCACCAGAGAAGAAAAGGTGCTACAAAGAAACCAAAAGAAAATAATACCATATTTGTGTGCAGAAAAAATAAAATGGGCAAAATGCATGATGAAACAAGATGGAATAAGGTTGTCCTTTCCCAGAGAAGATCAATAGAATGTTATGATACTCCAAATCAGAGAAAATGAAAACTAATCAATGTGTAGGATAACCAAAAGAATTAATTCCAGCTTTATTTAACAGCTAAAAACAACAGAATTTAGCTATTGAGAATATAATAAAAGAATAAAAATGCATCAAGATCTCTGGCTTCAGAAGCAGGGCAACACAAAGGAAACATGGAAAAAGAATTCAGAGGAAATAATAAAACCCCACATACTGTTTATGTGCTCATCATGAAAAACATAAGCAAAATTGTGTGTTGGCTCAAATATTGCGAGCCATTGAGGAATAGACCACATCACCATCTATACATTGTTTTGTATATGTGCATGGTAACTACATAAAAATGAAATAGCAAGAATTGTGCTATTCTAACCTCCACCTTTTTTTCATTTTTTTAGTCCAGCTCCACTCATATAATCCAGAATCCTATGCATATTTACATGAGTGTTAACTCCTACTGAAATCAGAGAGTCCTATTTTTGAGTAAACATGCTCAGTGTTACACTGTTCGGTTGTACTCCTAAGCACACTGAGCCAGGAAATGCCACTGAACTTAGGCTTTCAGGCTTCTGAAAAGGCATGTGCAGGGCTGGGGCAAACTTCTCAGAGTCCCAGTATCTTAGTTATTAATGTATCAATGGTGTCTACAATAATTTCTGTGCATAACAAAGTGCGTGCATATACAAGTAGCATCCGGGAACAGCTCTATCATTTCTGGTAGAAGTGATCTTTGAGCAGTGATAAGGCCTAGGTACCCGTTCTAAGGAGCTACGTCTATCTGGCCATGGTTTCAACCATGGTCTCTGTTATTTCTCAATGAGTGGGTCTGGTGTTGACATCTTTCCACTCATGGCTGAAGCAATCCTTTCTTTCCCTGGCTCTAGTCACCTCAGCCTTACTTATACAGATGCCACAATCGGCTTCACCAACACCACTGCCCATAGCCATTAAATTTCCTTTTTAAAAAATTGATCAGAGATTGGATAGCAACACTCAACTAAAATGCAGGGTTGTCATACACTCTTCTCTAACAGTCCTCCTCCTGCTCCCCACTCCACAACAGATATACAGCAAACAATGTAGAGCTAATTTGCATGACTGACATGATCCACCCATTCGCTGCCCAACCCCTGCTCTATGGACATGCCAGTGTGGCCTGGTGGTCAGAGTACTGGACTGGGGTCTTGGGAGATCTGGGTTTGAGTCCCTGCTTGGCCGTTAAGTCCACTGGGTGGCTTTGAGCCAGTCACTCACTCAGTCTAACCTACTTCACAGGGTTGTTGCAGTGAGGATAAAATGGAACTGTGTAAGCCGCCTTGGGTCCCTCACAAGAGGAGAAAAGGCAGGATATAAATGCAGTGTAATCATCACCACCACCACCACCACTATAATCATCACAATATAATGATATTAGCTGCATTCAGTGGGTGATTTTTAAGAGTTTACAAACTTAGGAAGACGATTATATATAAAAAACCCAAAATGGAAAAGATCATGATCGTGTCTCTTTGCTGCTACTTTTTGTTTTTGCAGAGGCATACTGATGCTCATCACAGTGACACTAAAAATCTGGATTACTTTGTTGTTTTCTAAGAGGTAGCAAGTACATCACTGCCAGAAAAACAGAAACAACAAAGTTGCTGAAAAGTTAAGACGGGAATTTCCTTCTCTGCCCAATGGGTGTATCAATAATTGCTGTTAACTAGTTTCCTACAAACAATCTGGCAAAGTAGTAGTAATTCCACATTTTGTCTCTAATCTGTATGTCTACAAGGGTTAGAGACTTCCTTTGGGGATTATGGCTCAGCAGGGCAGAGAAAGCACACAGACACCCAGAGACACCTGTGAAACTTAAATCAGGGAGACCTACACTTCGGTTTTTGCTTATCTATCATGTGATAATCAGTTCTAGCTATCTCAAAATATTGTTGTTAGGATAAAATTGGATAAATATGTATGCTGCCTTGAACTCCTTAAACAAAAGTCTCCAAAGCATACTGAGTGGATGCTGTTATGAGCATTCCTCCCATGTGCATACTATACAAGAGTAAGCAAAATCCATCTCTTTTTAACTACTCCAATAATGAATTCACAGGATTCTTAGCGCTAAAACATAACATAGGTTTTTATAACCTGATAAGCCCATGCAGTTTTTCACTCTTGACACATAACTACAAGTCCCACAGTTCTTTGGGGAAGTCAGGTTCATTAAGCAGATCTGAATCTAACAGAGTTTGTAGTGCCAACCTGACAAAGATAAAAAGCACATTTTTGACCCCATCCCACTCCTCTTGCAAGGTAAAATGCCGACAATCAGGCTTTTCTGTAATGTTTGGCACTTAATTTGGACAAAGACTGTAAAGAGGAGATAAGAATAAGGAAATAGTACTTATTTTCACATTATTACTATTCCTACTAGGCTGTTGGGAGACCTAGTCATAACCTAGTAACTAAAGTCTTGAAACAGAATTAGTTTCATGTTCATAAAGTAAATAACTAATAAGCATGCAACAAATGCTGTTAATTCATCAATAAAATTGTGTAACAACATTTCAGTAAAGCTTTGTGTGGACAATATTCATGCTACCTAAATATTTAGAGAAATGACACTGTGAAAAAATGCTGAGAAATAGGTGTATGTATGCATACTTTATATAGCTTACTTAAATTGGAATGGGGAAGCTCTCTGGTTCATTATGCCAGCCACATAACAGCTCAGTTGCTTTCTATCCTGGTTTTACCAGAAATGCTTAACAGGGTGGGAATCTATAGTGGGTGGGATGATAAAAGGAATCAAAGCAAATACTTTGAATAAACGAAGGCAGGGAAACAAAAGCTGGATTACTTGAAGTTACTTGAATTTTCTTGTCAGAAAACTAAAAGCAAAAAACAAGCTGATATGAGATCAAACTACAATTGTTTAAAAAAACAGCAGCAACATATACACTTGTATGCACAAAAAATAACATCACTATTTTTAGAAAAGAATATTTTGCATAGATAGATCAGTTTTCCAGTTGCAACACACTCCAAGATCAAATAGACCTTCGCTGTTCTAGACGTTCGCTGTTCTAAAATTCAGTAAACTGTTGTTAACTGCAGAAAGCAAATGCAAGACAATGTAGTGCAGAGAAATATTTTAAGAAGGAATGAGATGTACAGTATAGATTGAGTGGAATGGCTGAATTAAGTTGGTAGTCACTAGTAAGTCTGAATAAGTTGGCTTCAAGCAGAAGTAAATTTTAACAGGATTCTAGGAAGAATGGAAAGCTGGGGGAGGATTGCTTTTTATTTTGCTCATTTTAAAAATTTTATTTGAATTCAAATGACTGAGCAAATAATTACATACATTCAAAATTACTTACAATTTTTTAATCTTAAAAGACTAGAAATACACAGATGTATGTTTTCTTACAGTCCTCCAGTATAGTAAGAGATGGAGGGTCAGCAAGTACGTAGAAAGATTAGTGAGAACATGAGATTATTTGCCCAACTTTAAGATTTGCCATGACGGCAAAGAAATATTTAGGATGATCTATCCGCACTGTGGTACCAGTACGTCATTACAAACGATGACAGTATTCTGGTAACACGCACGTTGGGGCAAACATTTAGTATCTGGATGGCTGTCAGCAAAAAGTGTTCAAACATAAATGCTT